AAAGTGGGCCCAGCTTAACTAGAGCTACAGCACAGAGGGATGAAGCAGAATTCACCACCTCTTCCCTAAGTACGTTACCCAGGGGCCTCCTTCTCCGAGGCGAACTTCCAGTGATAATTGCCTTTCTTTCCTGCCTCTGCATCACTTGGTTTATTCATCCATTCATTCATTATCCAGCAAGCATTTGTTCATCCAACCTTGGACAAATATTAGTTGAGCCCCTACTTGTATACTACAAGATGGAGTATTTAAAAAAAAAAAAATGACTCTATATGGTCCCTGCCCTTAGACATTCAGAGTCTGGCTGGGAAACTCACAGCTCTGGAATTTGACTAGAGAGGGGAATATTCAAGTGAGTTCTGCCTTTTCCCCATCATATTCTGGCAATCAATTCTAAGTGATTGAAAAGTACAGAAAAATCAAGTAAATCATCTGGATATCTGGTCTCCACCAGACCTAGCATTTTACTCAGCCTCCTACCCTCCCCCCTCCAGGTACAGACACAGTTCCGCTAGCTACCTAGCCTCGCAGCCTCGTCCATAGTTAGGATGACCTTTGAATTTAGTGTCGAAACCAGATGACTTTGAAGAAAGAAAGAAGCTGCTACACATAATCATACTGGGACCATAGATATAAACTGGCAAAGGGAACACGTGGTCATCCCATCCATAATCTTTTATTACTGGACTTCACTGAGCTGAACAGCATTCACTAGTTAACTCTGCAGTCATTACCACATGGGACCTTCAGGAGTGGTTGACATGGTGATTGACACTAGGACTGCATCAGATGGACTCCAAAAACCAGAAATCCTAATGCAAGTGGCGTTGAAGTATGTTACCGTTCCTTCTTTTGACCCCTTAGCAAGTTTCCCATATCAAGAGGAGAAACAAACAGCAGAATCAGTAGCTGAAATGATATGCAGCGTGATGAGGAGCGTTGTAGTTAGAGAGGGACCTTTTTCAAAAAAATGTTTTGTGAAGTAGACAACAGGCAGATGCTTCTGGTCATGTTCCATTAACGCGAAGGGATTCCTAGAAAAACAGTCCCTGGGATACCTGAGGAAATCCAAGAGAAATCGCCTGAAGGAACAAAGAAAGAACTTGTGGTTCAGCAATACCAAACCATTGTTCTTGAAATAGAGCCAGATTTCTTCCCTGAGACCATGAAGTTGTGAACAGAATAGATACACTTCTTTCCTAAGGAGACGAGAAATGTCACATGCCCGCAACATACTGATGAGGCATTAACGCTCCATCTTCCCCCTAATTGTTGCTGCCCGTGATCGGTTTCGTATACCGACATGCATATGTCTGTCTTGTGAATGAGACAGAGGGATACGCAGTTACAAGCCTCACAAATACTAAGGACCAGACTGCAGCAGAAATCGTAAAATACCGTAATCATTTGATCCGTTATTTATGTGTTATAGCCCCTCACACTGTCTATCATATGATGTGATACAAACCTAAGAGAAAGAACCAGACCAAAAAAAAAAAAGAACCAAAACAATTATGGAACATTTCCCTTTACAGAACTGAATAAACACAAGCTTATGTTCTTTGCTTTGTCTCATCTAATACAGTTTATCCTGTCACCATTTCTCATTTTCTGTCATTCAACAAATCTCAGTTTTCAGTACAAGTGAAATCTGAGCATGGTGGCTTTTCACGTGCCAGTGCATGAAGTGTGACACTTAGCTGAGGTCAGTGTTCTCACCCCCATGCTTGCCTTGTGCCCTGTCCCTCCCTTCATGGAGATGAGATCTCCCTCATCACTGCATCTTTTCCCTCCTTAGAAAACCTATAGAGATTTCCGACTGCAAGGAGTCCTGGACTCAACCTTAAACAGCAAGACCTACGAAACCATCCGGAACCGTCTCACTGTGGAGGAGGCCACAGCGTCCGTGAGCGAGGGCGGGGGTCTGCAGGGGATCAGCATGAAGGACAGCGATGAGGAAGACGAAGAGGACGATTAGAACGCTTGGGCCTCAAGTCCACTAGGCCAGAGTCTTGTAATCAATGCATGTCCTTAGTCTGTTAGTTAACCCCATTATGGAATTTTCTGTCAACTACCATGCCATGAGATGTGTACTGATGATACAACTGCCATTTTAGCTACGTGGTACCAAGATTAGCAAACGACCTTCGACTCTACGATTTCCTGAATCCATGTCTATCTGTTTACAAGCAATATGGAGCACCATTCTTTAAATACCATTTATGGAGAATACATAGCTCAGTTGCTAGGTGTAGCCCTGTTATCAGCAGAGTTCAGTGATCCTTCATCAGTGTGCTGTGTGCGCGTCGACGGTAAATGGATGTGAGGGCGAGTACGCCACGTACTTTCTTTGTTTCCCATATGTGGATGCCGGTTACTTAAAGGAGTACAATAAATGAATTTAACTAAGACACGTAGATCTGCTTTGTTTTTTGAAAAACAGAAGGCAAGTCTCCAATAACCAACTTTCAGTTCTTTCTGTTCCCCTAAAACTGAAAAATGAACCCTTGGTGTCCTTGTTAACCCCTCCTTTCATTTATCCAGATAGTTACCCAAAAAAGGATGGCTACATACCAATGGATTGATCCTCCTAATTGCCACGGCAAGGGCGATCCTATCATAACATCCAGCACAGTTCAGAGCGACTGTCTTCTATCAAAGTTCATCCTATTAAATGTTATGTTTTGCTTTTATGTTTCAATAACCGTGTATGTAAAAAAAAAAAAAAAAAAAAGACCTGAATATTTAAATTATGACCCTAGACTATAAATGTGTTTATAATAAGACATGGATATTTCCTTCAGTAGATTGTAACCATAATTTAAATTATTTTGTTTCACACTGTTTTTTATATCTGTCATGTACATTGCATTTTGATCTGTAACTGCGTGACCCTGGGGTCCTCTGCAGAGCTCTTTCTTTCTGTGTAAAGTAGTGGATCCATCTTGCTTTTGCCTTATATAAAGCCTACAGTTAGGAAAGTGTGGAAAACTGTGGCTTCTCAATAAATAACTGTTCACGTGTCCCAAGAATACTTTTGAGTCTTTTTTTTTTCCTCTGTCTCCTTTGAAAGCCAGAACTGAAACACGCAAAGCAGGAAGACGCGGGGAAAGAGGAGGGAAGGGGTCATTTTCATAGAGTGTTCTCGAAACTGTTGGAGTGGGTAGTTTTCAAACGCTTGTCTCCACGAGAAACAGCCTAAAATTCCATTAATTCAGACACCACTAATTCAGAATCTGTGGGCATTTGGACATGTTGGACTGATTACACTTGCATTATAGGATAAATAAGGGTTTGCTAAGCAAGAGAGTAGTGTAAACGAGAGAAATGTTTCTCCTGTACGAAGAGAAGGCCAACAAACTGTTTTTAAGCACCACTTTAACAGCAGTGTTTGCATTCAAACAAAGCGTGTGCCAATTATATATGATTCTTATATATTTGTTAAAGCATTTTACAAGATTCTCTAAGACATGGAGTACTCTTTTCGCTCCCCAGTCCTTGTCAGCCGTATACTCACCTAAGTTTAAAAGAAACCAAACATTTTGGTAGCCTTACCTGTTTTATTTGTGCCTGCCACTAAATCAGGCTGAGCTTTCCTTGGGGCTGACTGCAGTTTTAGAGAAATGACTACTTTTTCAATAGGACCAGGCAGAATTCTCACCAGTTGGTCTCGACAGATCAACCCCTCTAAATAGCATGTCTCTCTGTTTAATCCTTGAGGTCTGCAGGGACAGATCACCAGTACTTCCTGCCCTTAGTACTTCAAACAACTCCCATTTATTAAGCAACTATTTTATGCCAATAGTTGCCATTATTGGGCAACTATTTTATTATCAAATGTATTTATTTTATACATCCTGCATGTCTTACCGCATTCAAATCTCACAACAACTGTAAGAGGAGAGGACTGTTACTATCCTCATTATGGACGAGAAAATTGAGATCAGAAAGCTTAAGGTAACTTGCCCTGCGGTTACACAACTCCACTCAGAAACGTTAGAGATACTAGCATAGCACTGTTCAGATGAATGATGGGGATATAGCATCAGGTGCGAAAAATCTTTGATCACCTAACAGCACAAAGTTAAGTCAGTGTGGCAAAGGTAGAATTCTGTGAAATATATTTGTATTAATGATATTTTGAGTTGCCAAACTAAAGCATATTTCTCTCAACAATTAAAAACAACTCAAAGATGCACAGGAGAGAGCATCGCCCAGTGTATAGGATTGGAAAAAGGAAGAAAATGCTCAGGAGCCTGGAGGAGTGAGTGAGATAAGTTACCGAGAGGCATAAAGGGAAACAAGTTAGACAAGACCTTAAACCAAGTTGGTGTTTTTTTTTTAAGTTTCCTTCAAAAGAAGAATTCACCACAGCCTAGCACTGAGGGTCCTGTTGGATACCATCCCCCAGCGGGACTGCCCTGGAGGGAGGGCTGTGGAGAAGGACGTGACATCAGAAGAGCTCAGAGACAACAACAACAACAAAACTGACTAAGTTCAAGCCTCAGGTTATCATTGCCACAGACTCAAAGCAGAGCTCTAGCTCTGGGGACCTAGAGCTTTCTTTTTCATTCCTTTGCGATGTAATCTGAAGTTTTCTTTTCCTTTTTTTTTTTTTTTTTTTTAATTAAAATACGATATACCTGCAAAAGAGTGCACACATCGTAAGCATACAGCTCGGTGATCTGTGAAAGTGGCCACCACACTCTTTGAATCGTCACCAGGTCAAGAACTGGAACACAATGAACACCCCAGATAGACCCATGCTGGTGCCCCTTCCCAGTCTCTCCCCCTCCTCAGGGGTAATGGTTATCCAAAGGTAACCACTCTCCTGGTTTCTAATTGCATCAGTTAAACTGAAACCTTCGTGCAATTAGACTCACAGTGCCTACTCTTTTATGCCTGGCTTCTTTTTGCTGTATGTCATGCTCTTGGCGTAGCTGTGGTTCATTTCTTCCCAATGCTCTATAGTATTCCAGCGTATGACTATACCACAATTTATTTATCCATGTTAACGTTTTGTTTTTAGTTTGGGGCTCATAGGAATCATACTGCCATGAATTTCTTCGTATGTATCTTGTGGTGCAATTGCTGGGTCAGAGGGTAAAGATATGTTGCTCATTTTTAGGAAATACTGCCAGTTCTCCACAGAACAAGAACGAAGTGACACTCTTACCAGCAGAGGATCAAAGCCCCTGACAACAGTCGGTATTGGCCTTGACAGTACTAAGTATTGTCACTAATTTTGGTCATTCTGGTAAGTGGTGCAGTGCTTTTAATTGTAGTTCACGGATTACACAAATGGAGTTGATTGCCTTTCAACACATGTATTGGCAGTTTGGGTAGCTTCTCTTGTGAAGTGCATGTCTACGTTTTTTTCCCTTTTCTTAAAAGAGGAAAATTCTAGAGTTATTTGAAGACTGGTAGGGAAGAGGCCTTAGGAAAAAGTGCCAGATGGATGGTAAGAGATCGAGACGCAGAGGGAAACGTTAACCTGATGAAAAAGCATTCACTATACTAACAATCAGTCCACAAAGAGTTGAGTCCATACTGGCTGGGGAGTGCTGGAAACACCCAGGCTCTCTCTCTAATCCATTCCCTCTCATTAGCCAGTGGGACCTTTCCGAAAGGTAACTGTGCCCTTGTCCATCCTCTAATTAAAAGAATTCAGTGGCTCCCCTCGCTCATAGAATGAAGCCCAAATTGGTTAAGGTGACGTACAAGGCCACGTATGATCTGATCCTCACCTACCCCTCCAGCCTCCTCTGCGAACCCTACACCTCTCTCTCTCTAGGTTACAGCTACCCCTGCCATCTTTCACTTCCTGTGCACCGAGATGCTTCCCACCTGGGCCCCTCCCTCTGAGCACTTCATCTCTTCCTTCACATCCCAGCTAATTAAATTTGACTTCCCCAGGGAAGCCCTTCCTAACCCTGCCCTCAGTCCAGCATCTATTTCCCTGGTATATATCCTCCTGATGCTCTCTACTTCTCTTTCATACTATTCATCACACTATTCGTGGAGGGGTTATCTTCATCATTACATGTTTCATGTAGCTCCTCTCCACTTCAGGTGGATGTGATCTGTGCCAGCTTCCCTACTCTATCCTTATTGTAGTCACTCAATATATAATTAATAAATGAAGGCTGAAAGTACAAAAATGTTAAGTCATCGAATTACTGTTCTCTTAGAACCTTTCGTCTAGCCGTTATGACTCTTCAAAAGACTTATATAGACTAAATACTGTAAGATTCAGAGGAGGGTTCAGAGGAGGGATAAGGAAAGGAAGGCTTCCTGGAGGAGGGGGTCTTGAAGAGCCCATAGAGAAGACAGGAAAAGACATGGACCAAAGCAGAGGGAGGTGAGGGGATGTGCCACTTGGTTGAAGCTGTTTTTTTCTCTGATGGATTCCCAGCACCTGTAGTAAGCAGTCAACAAATACATGTTGACTTAAGACATTAATGAATATGCTCAGTGTGTTAGGGGAGCCTGGCTTCACGGAAAGATTTATGCAGGGGGTTGGGAGAGATTAAGGTGGGTAGGGTGGATTAAGGTTTCCAAAGAGGACATCTAGTTTCATTTAGTTTGGGCTTATTGTTCCTCATAACAAAGAGCTAACTAGGATTTTTATTTTTTCAAAATATTTAAAGAAATTTTTTAAGTTAAAAAAAAATCAGAGCAGAATTCTATGAAACAAGAAGTTGAAGTCTCTCCCTTCCCCAACCCATTTCCCCAAAGTAGCCATTGCTAACAGATGGGCATATATTCTTCCAAATATGTTCAAATTATATATAAGTATATTGGATATATATTTATATATATAATACATATATCCAATATCCAGTTGGATATATTTATATTTTTACATATTTATATATATATATATTTAAAAATATATTTTCACAAATGGGATTGAGCCTGAGCCTACTAAGGCACATCATATTTTTCACTTATCAGTGTAGGGCCATTTCCATGTCTGCACGTACAGATTTTCGGTATGACTTTTAATGCTTGTGCTGTATTTAAGGAGATTGTCTAATCAAAGAAGAAACAAGAGCAAAATAAGGTAAACGAAAAATCCAGGATCAAATGGAGGATGGATCAAAACATAATGGTGGAAATGAGCCATCTGTGGAAGTGACCCAAGAGTCTGTTTGAAATGTGTGACTCAAGAATTTCTGAAACACCCCAAATGCAACCCCAGTCTAACTGCACTGTATTCTAATGATTTTTTTATGTGTCTGTCTCTCTGCTAGACTGCCAACTTCTTGAGGTCAGGAACTAAGCATCTCTTTGTGTGTGCCAGGCGGTGCCTGGACTATAGGCACTCAGTAAATGTTGGTTGAATTGAATGGGTGAACATCAGAGAGGCACACCTGAGGATGGTCGTGACTGAGAAAGTATAAAGTAGGGGCTTCCCTGGTGGTCCAGTGGCTAAAACTCTGCACTCCCAATGCAGGGGGCCTGGGTTCGATCCCTGGTCAGGGAACTAGATCCCACATGCATGCCACAACTACGAGATCCCGCGTGCCGCAACTAAGACCCGGCACGGCCAAATAAATAAGTAAAATATTTTTTAAAAAAGAAAGTATAAAGTAAATTTATTACAGTAGCCTCTCTCTATAAAGAAAGAATTACTAAAAAAGATGATGCATCTCAATAGCTTTAGGAAAACCATCATCCACCTCATCATTAACGTGACCTGAATTTCCGGTGCCAGCATGAATAGTCATGCTGTCATAAATTTGGGATCCTGTAAGAATTTTAGGAAGTCAACCAACCAGTAAGGGTTGTATCATTATTGTTTCAACATAAATCTTAAGAAGTTCATTTTATTTAAACTTCAAAATCCAAAATAAGTGTGTTCTTTGTGGCCAGTTTCCATCAGCACATGGTTAACAAATCTGAAATCACATTATGCACAATCTTGCAATTCTGGGTAAACAAATTTTTAAAAATCAATATTCATCTTTTATTCAAGGTTGTTTTCCTTCTTCATCTAAATACTAAAAGTATCATCTGTTTTCCTTCTTATGAATCTATGCATTTCAACCAAAGTCTTAAATCTGCCTTTGTTGTAACTAAGCAAAGGAGGAGAGGGTGCCGTCAGCCAGCAGAGTCCTCTCCCCTGACGACCGTACGTTGAAGGTCAAAGAGAAACACTACACGACAAGTGATCACAGCCACCAGCTAACAGAGGAATAACAAGATCACAATTACTACAAATAAGAGGAATGCAAAGGCTGTAACAAAAAGCCAAGAGTACCCAGATAGCATTTTTTCTTATTTCCTAAGAATCTATGATGTGATGGCAAAAAGCAATTGTAAACACGGTTAAGTTGGCATATTTCCCTCCGTCCATCAGAAAGAAGTTGGCTTGTTTCCTGGGTAGTGAATACAATTGCAAAGAACAAACAAGGCTTTGCTTAAATCTCCAAGCAAGAAACATGTGATTGAAGATAGTACGGATTTTAGAGAAAGCGTTGGAAATTTTGGAACGCACTTAAGAGAAAACCAAAGGCAGCATGAGAAGACAAATACTGCCAGTATTTGGTGCAAAGAAAAGTACAGTTTAGGTGGAAGCTACGACCGGGTTTCAAACTCTAATGTCACTGTATGAATGTCGCTATGTTATTGTCCTGAACTGGGCACCTCACTCGGTCTCCCCAGTCAACCCCTGGAACAGGGCTTTGAGCACAATAAATTCCTCCACAGTGTTCTTTAGTGCAATTACTTTCATTTTAAATAAAAACCACCCTTCAAAAAAAATCAAACATTAAGGTTATAGACTGAAAATTCCAGAGCATATGGAGGATATCAACATCGCAATGTATTTGGAAAGTTTGAACTCTTCAGAGGACGCTTTAATTAAACGACAGTCTCTAGTTTTGTGATCCTACAAGTTGAACTCCTACGAAATAATTTTTGGCAGGATGAAGAGATGTCTTTCTGTCCAAAACTTGGAATAGTTCTGATAAAATAATTCTGGAGAGATTAACCTAGACTAGTGATCTCCCAATCAAGGAAATGGGTTTCTTTCTACATTGAAAAGAAGTAGAACAATCTCTGATCCATTTCTTATCCAACTTTTAGTCAAATCAATTCTTATGTTTCATTGATTCTAAGATAAAACTTTTTTTTTTCATTTTTAACGTCTCTGAAATTGGAATTCATCCTTCACTGTAAAAAAAAAAAAATCACATTGCATCCACTCTCTGCCACCACCCCACCTCTGTAACAACACTGCTGTACACACAGTATTAATATTTCTTTGGAGAATGCAAGGAAAAGGAGGTATCTGTCCCAGGGAAGAGCCTCCCACACAGTGAACTGAGGGCAAGGGCAGAGCTAGGAACTGACTCAGGAGTGGATGAGAAACAAGTGTCCATTTGCCCCCAGGAGGTAAGAAAAAGATGGTTCTTGAGATGGGGAGGGACTCAGACCCTGTTATTACAAAGGATGGGGGCTCAAACCACTCAATTTAATGTTGAAGTAAAGGTGAAAGGGGCTGCAGGATCTGTAGGCCATGGGTGGCAGGAATAGCACGAAGGAGTAGCAGGTGGAGATCAAGAGCACAGGTTCAGGTTCTGGAGTCAGGCTGACCTTGGTTCTGATTTCAGTCGGTGGTAATACCCACCATGTGACCTCAGGCAAATTACTTAATTTCCCTAGGCCTCAGTTTTCTCATCTGTAAAATAGAAATAACCAGAATAATACCCTAAGCATGACCTATTGTTACAAGCTCATTAAAAGAAGGACCCAAAAAAAATAAAATAAAATAAAAAATAAAGAAAGAAGGACCCAAAGGCACAGCAGCATTAGCAAACCTTCACTACAGCTGCGGGTTAGACCAGGGGCATCCAGGGACAGGGAAGTTGCCCAGCAGCAGCAGCAGTCCCAGCAGAGCTGTCCCTGGGGCTCTTCTGGCTGTGCCTCACCTCACTTGTCCCTTGGTTCCTGACTGAACCTGTCTCCCCAGCCTTCAAGTGGATTCTGTGAGCTACTCCATAAACTCCTTTTCTGCCGTCAGTTTCTGTTGCTGGCGACCAAGAGCTCTGAATGATATAGGAGGGATTCTGGGAAAGGGGACATATTTTTCAGTACGTACTGTTTTATGTTTGATTCTTTTAACCATGTGCATTTATTACTTTTTCAAATTAAAAATATTTTAGAGGAGTGTAGTTTAAATAAATCTACTGTTTACAGTGTCTCAACAGAGCATCATCTGGACAAGAAAAATGTGGAATTGAAGTATAGTACTAATAGCAGGTGCAGGATGGAAGGTTAAGTATTACCCTCTAACCTTTGCTCATGTCCTCTTACAGGGGAGAGAGTCTGAACCTGGAGTGTTAGGCTAGAATTCAAGAGGTCCATGAACTTGAATAAGACAAAAAAAAAAAAAAAAAGGAGGCAGCAAACCACAGTAGCACTTGCACTGTCTGTGACTTTGTCACCAAGATAAATCACAGATATTTTCATATCACATTACAATTGTTGCAATATCTCAAAATATCATTTACACTCATCAGTACTTCTAAATTTCCTTAGGGTTACACCTGCCACCAGATCTTATTTAATGCATTGGAAAGGAAGCTTATATGTCACTGTGCCACACATTTATTTTCTAAAGTTTTTGATAACCGTATATCAATGCAGTTGGTCTCCTTTGGAATTGTACCTATTTTATGCATTTTAAAGCATTATGCTGAGAAGGCGTCCCTAGTCTTACCAGAGTGTCAAAGGGGTCTATGGTTTCATTACTGTACACATACACTCACCCATAAGCACACACACTCACACACAGAAAAGTTGAAAATTTCTGCCAAAGCGCTTCGTCTTTTGCTTCCCCATCCCACGCCTTGCTTTATCTATTGTCTCTCTTTCTAATTTCCTTACCTATAAAATGGGGACCATGTCTTTTTCTTTTTTATACAAACCTTGTAAGCTGTAGAGTTTTAGTATCTTGAAAGAAAGTCAAACCATCAAACTGGCCAAAACAATTTGACAAATGAAACTTTACTGTTTGAGGATATCAGTAGGTCGTATTTTTGTATTTCTAGATGGGATGAGTTAATGGTTAAGGACAATGGGTGTGGGATCCCATGCTGGCTTGCTCTGAGCGTTGGCTCTGCCACTCATCTAAACATGTGGCCTTAGGCTAATCACTGATACTGAGTCTCATTTACTTCATCTGAAGATGAGGACAACAAGTCCACTTGCTTTTTAGGGTCACACTATTTATGCAATAGTAACAGAAACTGGTAATAAGTAGTAAGCTCACAGGACCTGGCACACAGTAAGAAACCAGAGTAAGCAGCTGCCTCTAGGGAAAGAGACCAGAGAGTTAGGTGGAAGGGAGACTTGATTTTCATTGCGTACTCCATTACGTTGCTTGAACTCAGTAAGCATTAGGAATTATGTTAATTGCATCCCAAAATTCACTGAGTCTGGAGACACAAAACTATGATCTACTAATAACCTCCTAGGTGATCAATATTAATTTTTTTACTCTTTTATGTGCCCTAGGTGAAAACTTAATCTAGTCTGCAAAAAAATTGAGGGAGAATTTTTCTTATACTTGACTATATTAAATAAGCATGTGCTCCAGTTTGATTTAACGAGAGGGATGGAGACTTCCTTGCTACGGCTCTTCTTTCGTTCCGCAATCAAGCAAGCACTTATAGAATGTTAAGGTTCTCCTGTACAGAACTTTGTACCACCTCCACTTCCACCCCCAGGGGACCTATGGAGGTGTGGGTGGGAGGGGGCAGGAGCTCTAAAGGAAATCCTTATTCTGGAATTAAAATAAATATCTTCTCAATATCCAAGGAGAAGTCTGGGAAGCCTTCCTTCTCTTCAGTTAACAACTAGGTACCTTTTAAAATATTAGTCAGAAAGTGAGAGAGTGGCATGGACATATATATACACTACCAAATGTAAAATAGGTAGCTAGTGAGAAGCAGCCGCGTAGCACAGGAGATCAGCTCGGTGCTCTGTGACCACCTAGAGGGGTGGGATAGGGAGGGTGGGAGGGAGGGAGATGCAAGAGGGAAGAGATATGGGGATATATGTATATGTATAGCTGATTCTTATACAGCAGAAACTAACAAACCATTGTAAAGCAATTATACTCCAATAAAGATGTTAAAAAAAAACTTGCTAAAAAAATAATAATAAAATATTAGTCAGGAGAATAAAAGCACCAAGGTACATTCCAGAACCATAGAGGATGAAAAGTGAGTCAGCCTTTGAACTACGGTCGGTAACTCAGAAACTTGATCTGTGCGGAGCATCCTTACAGAACAGTGGAGAAAATGTCTGTGTTTTTAAAACCAGCATGAGGTCTATCCTGTCCTTAGACACTAACACACGTGGGGAAAAAAAATACATATAGTGCAAAATGCAGGGCTGCAAGCTGAGTTCAAGGGTGTACAGGGCAGAAACATAATGAAAAGAACATAGTTCTTTCAGGCGTTCGATTCATCCAACAAACCAGGTGTGCTTGCTGTCCAGGTGGTGAGTGTAAGTGACGGCAGTGACCAAAACCGAACGAGAGATGCCGCTGCCCTACAGGAGTCCACAGACCACGGGACTTAGACAGCAAAGATTTGCTCTCAAAGGAATGTTCAAGAAGGAGTGGCAGTAAGAAGGACAGCATCTAAAGACGTGAGTTTTCAAAATTGCCAAAACCGTAGCGATGCTGTCAGCAAAATGCAGACTATAAAAAGAAAATTCTATAGAACAAAAAAAAATTTTTTTGATTTTTTTCAAGAAATAAATTGCAAGGGGAAAAAAAGAAATGGAGAGAAATCTATAAATTAAAGGAGACTTAAAAGGCATAACAGCCAACCATAATGTAAGGACCTTATTTGAATCATAATATAAACCAAAGATTACTTAAAATTCTGACATTTCAGAAATTGGAATGCTGGGTATTTGATGATATAAAGAAATTATTGTTAATATTTTAGGTGATGGTAGTGAAGTTATTTAGGGATGACAAAATAGTATGTCTAAAAAAAAAAAAAAAGTATGTCTAGGACTTGCTTTAGAATATAATATGAGGGCGTGAGTACGTGGGGATGTACCTGAATCAGAATTGGCCATGGATTGGTCTTATTGAGGCTAAGTATATGGGTTCCTTATTTTATTCTGTACTTTTTCTGTGTATGTTGAAAACTTCTCATATTAAGACTTGGTTATTTTGTAATCATTAGGAAAGATTCAGTAGAAATCAGAGAGGTAATGAAAAACATGCTGTTCTCTGGTTCCAGAGAATATGCTGAAGATCAACATGAAAATCTAGCTCTTGGGAGTAAATACTCCTCCTTGCACCCTCTCTCCTGTTTGTGTGGCATGGGCAAGACCGCTCTGCTCATTTCTAGTGCTTCCTTTGCCTGGAGATTCTGGTTCTTTTTCTCTGCATGCTGAGAGGTGTGAACTAGTTCAGCTGCCTTTGGGAGGGAGGGAGACCACATTAGCCTCCTTACCTCAAGGCTCCCACTCTTTTTTTTTTTTTTTTTTTTTTTTTTTTTTTATAAAGGCTCCCACTCTTGGGGCTGGACCTTCAGCTACAGGTCAGCACCCACATGCAGAACCTAGGGGGAGCTGGCCTGGGAAGGGACAGAAGGTCTAGAAGATGTAGAGGGGCAGCAGCTCACTTTCTGACTGGTGGCTTCTGAAGAGCAAGGTCGTGAGGGGGCTTCTTATGAAATGCTTAAAACCTAAAGCAAACTGGAACCATTTGGATGCCCCAAAATATGTGATACTGGCCCCCCTTTTTCTGGATGGTTCTTTCTCTGGGACATCCTTTCGCGTATTTCTTCCTCTCTTCTGTCACCCCAGCCTGTACCAGCATTTCTACGTTCCAAGTTCTCTATAATTTGGCACCTGAGTCTGCCCTAGGCAAGAACATATAGGCAGAAATAGCAATGAGGTACGTTTGGGATCTATTAAATTGGTAGGGATTTTTTAAATGACAATGCCCAGTGTTAGGGAAGGCACTGGGAAAGAGGCATTGTACCCCCTGTTGGAAGGGCAATTTGTCACTTGGTATCTAAAGCTTTAAAAATGTGCATATCTTTTGTCACAGTAATTCTACTTCTGGGAATTTGTCCTACAGGAATTAGCTATGCACAAAATTAACGTGTGAGAATGTTCCTGATGGAACTATTGCAAAAAAAAAAAAAAAAAATTGTGACCAGCCTAAATATCCAACCACAAAGGACTGTTTGACTCGTGTTAAAGCCAGAGAGTGGAGTACTACAGAGACATTAAAATTGTGTCTTAGTTGCATATTCAAAACACGGGGTAATAGTCATACTATATTAAATGGAAAAGCAGATTATAAAACAGTATATATTATATGATGTCAACCGTGTAAATGCAGAGAAAGGACATATGCCAAAGCATTGTCTGTGATTTCTGAGTAATAGGATTGTGTACAATTTTAATATGCTCCTTTGTAATTCTCTGATTTTCCCAACATTTTTCTACTGCTTTTTAAATCAGAAAAAACAACAACAACCCACCTCGCTTCATTTACACAAAGAAGCAAAACAAGTACAGAGCAGAATAAGAAAGCTTGTTGCTCTCTTCTCTCATCTTTCCACCAGTCAGACTGAAGGACCGTAGTTATGAATAACAAGAGTTATTGTAATAACTATAGCAAATGTTCATTGAGGGCTTTCCTGTGGACAGTCACGGGTACTGAGCTCTCTCTGTGCCTTTTCTCATTTGGTCCTCAGCACCCTGGGACCAAGTGAGTGTTCATCTCCTGCCCAAGGTAGGCAGTTGGGGCTTGCAGAGATGTTTAACAACCTGCCTGTGGACCCATAGCTCACAGGTGAGCCAGGCTTCTGACTTGATATGATTCCAGAACCTTCTCTGATTCAAAGATACTCAGCCCTACAAAGCCCAGAAGGGAGTTTCATGCTGTGTCTTAATATCCTAAGGAATGCCATGCTCCATCCAGACCACAATTCTGTCTCTAGAAAAAAGCACCAGACAATGAATTGCTAAAGGAGCAGTCTACCCACCCATCATGGAAACGCCTCTAGAAACCTGGTATTTATGAATTCACCCTGTGGCCTCTGTTAGAGTGAGAAGTTTTTAAATTTTTTAACTTCACCGTCAGGGAGTTCTTTGGGTATGGTTTTTGTTTGCTTTTTTACTTTTTCCCTCTCACTCTGCCCTCTTTCAGAGTCTTGGACCATCCTAGCCACGCCCATTGTCCTTTATCCATTTCTGGGCCCATAGCCTAGTTTACAGAAGGTACTGATGCGTGCCTATTGGCTGAATGAAGGAATGTAAGTGGCATGAGGGAAGGGATTGTGTCTATCTTGGTAGGCTCTATATCCCTGGCATCTAGATTGTAGGCCCAGTACAGAAAATCTCAAGATAGGTGTACTGGCTAACTAATGAATGAATTACATCACCTTGGGTCTTATCTTGTCTCACTCTTTCAGAAGCAGAGAATTTTTATCTTTTTAGTCTGTGTAAATTACAGCACCAGTCCTCAGTCCTCGCTCCCACCTTAACTGCTTTAGCTGTAGGTTCTTTAGATCTTTGTTTTTTTAATTTTTAAAAATTTCTTATTTTTTAAAAATTTTTATTGGAGTATAGTTGATTTACAATGTTGTGTTAGTTTCAGGTGTACAGCAAAGTGAATCAGTTATACATATACATAAATCCACTCTTTTTTTTAGATGATTTTCCCATATAGGCCATTAAAGAGTATTGAGTAGAGTTCCCTAGAGATTGTCATACTGAGTGAAGTAAGTCAGACAGAGAAAGACAAATATCATGTGATATCACTTATATGTGGAATCTAAAAAAAAAGGGTACAAATGAACTTATTTACAAAACAGAAGTAGAGTCACAGATGTAGAAAACAAACTTATGGTTACCAGGGGGTAATGGGGCGGGAGGAGGGATGAACTGGGAGATTGGGATTGACATATATACACTACTATATATAAAATAGATAACTAACAAGGACCTACTGTAGAGCATAGGGAACTCTACTTGATACCTTTCTTAAAGTGCTGAGATCAGATTTGCAACCATTGCCACCACCCGAATTCATATTTGCTTTGCACGAAGGGATTGTCAAGTATTTGATTTCTGGGTCCCAAGGCTTTTTCCTACTAAAATAAACTTCCCCATCCTCTCCCAAAGCAGAACTGTTAGTTCTGCTAACTGGGTCACTTGCCAGGGAGCCAAGATTCTTTTTTCCCCTGGTGTCGTCTAGGGCCAAGACCCAGTGAGTTAAGCTCTAAGGACTTGCCAAGGCTTTCTATTAATGCCAGTTCGTACAAACATCCCATACCCCACCCTCCTACCTTCAACCTGATCTCCATCTCCCAGCACAAGCGGCCAGATTGGGTCTCTGGAAAGTGTGAGGCAGTTCCTGGCCAGAGGTTCTTTACCTGCTTCACCTGCAGCAAAGGGTACAGGTCCAAGTTCAATGCTGCCACCCCTGTACTGAGGTCTTGGGTGAGAAGAATGCTTCAGATGTGCTCCCCTGATTAAGCGTTCTTGAGCCCGTTGCAGGTTCCCTGAAGTTGTATCCACTGCCCAGGCTCCAAAGACAATTGTGTTAAAAGTCTGGATGCAGCTCGTTTTTAAGTCTGTGTAAGAGGCCAACTAATTGATGTGGTTGTCTGGTCCAGAGGAAGAAATTCAAGGTACATTACTCAAGAGGCAGGTAAGGAGTAGTATCTCTTTGGGAAACTGGGGGAGGGGGGCAAGTCAGACAAATTCAGGCTGATTATTCACTTATTTAACAGATATAAAGGTAGTATAATAGATATTAAAATGTGAACAAATAAGTGCATTTAACAGATACATAGAAGCATAACAAACATAGAGAAAATATTCAAATAAGCGTGAACAGCTCAAAAAATATTCACAAACCAGAACCCAGATTAGAAAACAAACCCTTACCAGCACCCCAGAAGCCTTGTGTGCCCAAATGTTGCCTACTTTGAACTTTAAATGAGATCATGCAGTGTGTAGTCTTTTGGATCCGGCTCCTTTGGTCAGTGTCATGTTTGTGAAACTCATCGATGCTGTTTAGTATAGCAGTGGTTTGTTGATTCTTATTGATGTATATAGTATTTCATTTTGTGAACAGACCACTCAGTTTATTTATGGATTCTGCACTTGATGGCTATTCAGAAAATTTCCAGTGTAGGACTATTACAAATCATGCTGCTGTGAACATTCTAGTGCCTCTCTTTTGGTGAGCTTAAGTACACATTTCTGTTGGGTATATACTTAGGAGTGGAATTGCTGGGTTGTTAGGAATGCAAACATTCAACTTTAATTGATACAGCCAATCAGTTTTCCAAAGTGTCCCAATTTACACTCCACCAGCCTATTCAGGCTAATTGTTTAGCTGGATTTCTTTTTGCATGGTCTTAGGAATATGGGTTCTGAAAACAATCTCTTGCCAGTTATGTGACCTTGGACATGTTATCTGTATAGTGGGCCCATTGATTGTATACACTAACTTCATAGGACAGAAATGAGAACGACTAGAGCAGGTATTTAGCTAGTACTGTGCCGGGCATGTAAGAGGCCCTCGGTAATAAGTAATCATCTACTGATTGCCACCCTAGCTAAACCCCCAAAGAGGGAGGGTCTGTGTGTGGGAGGAGACAGGGGTGGAGGAAGAAAGAGACTGATTCACGGTTGGTGGAGCTCTACTCAGCATTTTTGCAGTTCCCATTTTTGTCTTTACCTAAGCCAAAATGCAAACTCCGGGGTAGAGAACGCAGACAGAAATCTACCTAGGAGAGGAGAAGATGGGGTTCGGCTGAACTGGTGAGAACTCGAGAAACCTGGGCAGGAAAGAACTTTTCCATTCTCACGCATACCTGGGAAGTTTCTAGCCAAGCCAAACCAAACCAACCAAACAGAACCGAGTGATTCGCTGGTACAGCGATCACAGCGTTGTGGGTTCTTACCCAGTGGGCCATCCAACTCAGACCTACTCAGGCCGGCAAACTTCCAGGAGTTTGGGCGAGACTGGAATCAGTGCCTCTCACCCCTTTGGCCCCTCCAGCCCGTCGTTTTCACTGCCGACTTAACTCCAGCTCTTAGCACTTAACGCTAATACCTTTGGGCAGGCTCCACCGCGGAGTTTAACCGGCTGCCACGTTAAATAACGCGGACGATCCTAAGCCGTCTTCCCAGGGAGTTAGAAATCGACAGCACCCGAACTACGCAGGGTCTGTCCATCACCAAAAATGCCTTTTTATTTCACATATATATATATTTCGTATATATGTATATACGTACATGGTGTGTAAAATATATCACAACTGTCCTTTGTAAACTATTGTTTCCTTTGGGTTGCACGTCAAAACCGCGTGGCAAGAGGAAAAGGCGTTTGAGAGAAGACTGCCTCCCCCCACCCCACCCCGACTACGCCTCGGGAAATGACACGTCCGCTGGCAAATTGCTGCGAGCAGGTATTAGATCAGAGTCCTCATCAAACGGCATTTTTAAGTGAAGGGTTGTCGATAGCAGTGAAGGTATATATACATATACACACAATATGCATACCTATGCATACATATGCGCGTGTGTGGTTATATATGCCTCTAAAGCAGAGAGGACAGCGTACCAAACTTGCGCGCGTAGGGACTGCAGATCTGCTCTTTTGGAAGACTCCCTCTGGCCTAGGAGCGCGCACACTGCCCAGATTTCCGAAGGCGCGGTGAAAGTCCTCTTACGTGATCGTGAAGGGGGTGGGGAGGGTTCTGGAAATCGTGATAGGTTTGCACCACCTTCCCCCTTCCTACTTGGCTGCAAAGCCGGCTGCCCTTGATTTATAGGCGCCTCTCCTGTTCGAGGGTGAAAACCAGTACCCGAATGCGAGGGGCGCTGCGAAACAGCCGGGTGCAGTGGGACGGGCGCGCCGCCACCCTGGCTGTGGGCGCCGCAGCATCCCCGAGGACGCGGGCAGATGCAGACGGCTCTGGCCCATCTGTCCCTGGAGGCCCGGGCCCAAGACGGTGCTCGCGCGCTGCGCGCGGGTACCCGGAACCCGGTATCTCTCCGGGTGTGCCCGGCCTCGCTTGGCCGGGGTATCTGGGGCTCTTTGTCTCCCGGCCGCACTAATCCTGCTAACCGCGCGCACCAAAGGCGGAGGCCCGTGCGCCTCGGACAAGCCAGCCACTGGCAAGACGGTTCGAATGTTTTCAATAAAATGCTTCCTGGGGTAGAAAAAAAAAGGATCGCAGAAGAATTTCTCTTCAGAAGTTAATCTATTTTCAGCGGTTAAGCGCAGCACCGTGTAAATCAGATCCTAAATGTCCCCTTAGAAAGAAGTAAGAAAGGAAGGGAGGGAGGGAGACTCCTTAAACCGAAAACTTTGTTTGGTTTGGGTTTGTTGGTTTGGTTTCGGTTTTTTGTTTGTTTCCAAACGAGTTACGGAGCAGCGGGGAGAAAATATCAAATCTGCCCAGTGGGTGTTTCCCCAAACTCAGCAGCCTCGAGCGAGCCGTCTGCCCCCAAGCTACTCAACTCCCTGGGGAGATGGCCCAGGACGCTATATTATGTATTGCAACCTCATAATCGGGTGAGGAAATAATAATAATAATGGTATTTAAAATAACGGTGCCTCTTGTCATCTAGAACCAAGAGATACAAGCCACCAGGGCTGGAATTGCAACACTTTTGGGGAGTAGAAATGCTTGCCTTTTCCCTCTGTGATCCCAGAAGTAGTGCAAATGTGTGAGCTTTTGCTCCAGAAAGGGATTTTCCTCTGAGGTTGTCTACACCCCAGGAAGGCATCTGCTAAGTAATTTATTCTAAAGTGAGGGCGATTTCTGGCATTAAAAAAGAAAAAAAAATTTTTTTAAACAGAAGTCATCCTTACAGTGTTGGGGTTAATGACCATAGAAAGGCCTGAGGGAGGGGGCAGAAGAGGAGGACTCTAGCCGTGCCAGTCATATTTAATATGCTTCCACAAGAGAATCCTCTGCAAAATCAATAGACAGCCGCCAGCTGTGCTTAAACCTGAGATTTCAATTAAAACATTGCGCTCCAGTCCTTGCTTGAGCCTGGATACGCAATCAGTAGTGTGCGAGTGGCTTGGCCTGGGTGCGGCGTCCCACAGCCGCAGATCCCCGAGGTCGCGGTCCGGGTCAGACCCAGTGGAGCTGCAGAGCACCGGGCTTTGGCACCCCGCTCTGCAGCGTGGGAAGAGCACAGGCTGCCGAGGGGCGTCAGGCTTAACTTTGGCAGTGTTTCCCCACCGCGGCCGAGCTGTGGAGGCCCCAGCGTGGGCCAGATGGGCCGAGCGAAAGCGTCTGGCTATCGGCTGAGACGCCCAGAAGGAGATGGGCCGGAAGCTGAGACCGCAGGGCGGAGAAGGACCCCATGGTGGGTCCAGAGCTCGTAGGCCGAGCGCGGTAGGCTGCAGCCCGCACCGTCCAGCAAGGCCGGCAGCCACAGACCTGGGTGCCCCGGGATTGCGGGCGCCCAAGCTCATGATCCGGCCCCTGGGGCTGAGCGCACGCTGAGCGAGGCCTAGTGGGCCTCGCTTGGGCCGCGGCCACGTGCCTCCAGGTCGCGCGCTTCGCTTGGGTCTGAGCCTCCAAGGCACCGGCACCTCCAAAGTGGAGCTTGTGTACTAGTCTGGATTGGGAGAGAGCCTAGGATTTCTAATCTATCTCGACAGTCTCTGCTCACTTCTGTCGGAAAACCATTGCTTAAGAGGACAGGACTTCTTTATAGTGGGAGGCTTTGGAAAACTTTGGCATAAAAGGATCCGCATCCCTGACATACAGGTGTATTCCTGCAGCCTCCTATTGCCCTTCATGTCGAGTTACTTTGGATTTTTTTTCCCCTCACTGAAAATGTGTAGGTAGAAAAAAGTTATCCCTATTCTCACAGAACCCCTCCAACAACTCCCTAAAATCGTCAAATTTTAATACTCTCCCCTCCCCCCTGTTTTAAAGCATTTCAGCCTCAGGGGGAAAAGAGACGCTGCGGTTGAGAATGAATTTGGAGGGTTGGGGGCAGCAAATCGAAATCTCAGCACTCCCTCCACCGAGTGCCACGTTTCCCCAGTCCTCTATTATTCTGCCTGAAATCATCTCGTTTACAGAAAATATTTGTTTGCACTATTAGTTGGTACTGGAGTTAATTACTCAATGTGTTAACGTGAAGTAATATGTATAAAAGTAGGATCAGTGTTTATTGTGTGGGTAAGCTGTTGAGCGGTGCTTGAATAAACTGCAATTAGGGTTAGATAGAGATTAATTAACATGTGAGTGGCAAGGTGTAAAATAGTTTCCAACCCTCCACTTCAATATAATCTGCAGGCGAGGGAAGGAGAAGTTTGTGGAAGCTAATTAAATACTTTCATAAAAGCCAGTGTATTCACCCAACATTTGGAAAGAGAGGCACATTAGGGGCAACTTGTTTTTACCCAAATGTTTTCTTTCTGTGGAGGTAGCACTCCTTTGTGATGCTGGGGGAGAGAGAGATGGCTTATGCAGCTACAAAGAGCGCTAGGGATGGCAACGCAGGTTCACGGGAAGCCTTTGGAAGGCTTTCAGCCTGATGGAGCTTTCAAACCAGCAGATCTTTGGAGCTGCTGCCGAGATCAACAATTACCCAGTTTGGAAAGGGGGTTGGGGTGCAGTGCTGATGGCTGAACGGGATCCACAGGAAAGTCGGGATAGAAATTCGGGTTTTGAGACCCTGCCGGTGTATTGATACTGTTTCAATGTCCCGGTGAGTTGCTGGTTGGTCTCGTGTGTGGTGATGGGGTGGGGTGGGGTGGGAGGAGTTCATCTGTGTTGTTTTCACGTTAACACAGGGATAGGGGTATACTGAGTCTGGAATTCTGCCTCTCTGAACATCTAAATGAAATCGGCTGTATGGAAATGTTCTCCTCCCAAGGAGCTAGCCTCTTTCTGGCTTTGAAATCTGGAAGTTCGGTTGGGTGGGGTGGAGGGGTGGTGATGTTGGGGAACAGATTCAAGACTGCCGAATTCAGGGGTAGTTTCCAAGCTTGGCAGCGTGGACAAATTAACCCACGGCAGTTGCCATCCAGGCCACTTTGCCTCGGAGACTTCTCTCTTTGTTCCCCATCCTAGCTTTCCAAGTACACTTTTCCTTGCCTTTACCTGCCACCTCAATATCCTGTCTGCAATTACACGTCAGAAGGGGAGTGGGTAGGAGAGAGTTCTGAAGGGGAAAAAGGAATGGTTTGCCTGAATTTAAAATTAGACCTTTCCTGTCTTTTTCCCTGATGCGCTTCCTGGGATGTTTTGCGGCAGAGAGGCCTGGGAAGGGGTACTCAGCCCCTCAAGACCTGTTCTTGGGTGAAAAAGGAGAGGGTTTTCTTCCCCCCGACCCCGCCAGCACTTTCTTGGGCTCCACAAGATCGTATGTCTTCGGAGATGGAATTCAATATCAAACTCTCAACCCTGTTTTCTCATATTATACCCACCGTAATCCTCTGAAACTGTAGTTACGGCTACAAAGCTCGTGGTCTTGCAAAAGCCGGCTGGCAAGATATAATTGTCCCGCAAACAAAACCCTCCAAAAGTTTTTTTTTTTTTTTAACCCCTGCATTCCCCCCCCCCTCCTTTCCTAAACCTAATTCTCTCCCTGGCTCTCTTGCTAGCCGCTACGCCCCTCCCCATAAGAACCCTCAGCCTCCATCACTTTTGTTGTCGCCAAGAGCACCCGGCCTGTTGAAAGTGCTGGAGCGTCTTTGAGCAGTTTGTTGTGATACGCAGGTGGAATGGTCTGCAAACAGATGAATTCAGCCCCTCCAAACCGAGCGCGGAGCGCGCTGCTTTTGTGCGCGAGGCACAAAACGCTGAATTCCTCCGAACTTACTTGGGGCCTGTCTAGAAAAGGGCCTTTTCTTCCCTCTGCGTGTACCTCTGGCCACACTAAGTCTCTGCCCGCCCCCCTTCAGCCCTCCTCCCTCTCCCCTCTGATAATCCTTCTCTTTATTTTAGAAAAACACAAAACCCGGTTCCACGCGGTGCTTTAGTGGCTAAAAGTGAAAGAGCTGCCTTGGCAGAATTCAGCTCTATGAATCACTTCGGAAAATTGGTTCGACTGAATGGCCTTAGGAGGAAAAACGTTTTAATAGGATCCAGGGGAGGTTCTGCTGTTTCAATCTGCTCCTTAAACAGGTGGAGATTGGACCTTCTCAACTATACAAACAGTAAGTACCTATCAGCGGGGAGAGCTGCCCTCCGAATCCTCGCCCGCAGCCCTAAACCAGCAGCGGAGCCGGGCTTGGCCTCAGAAATCCGATCACAGATCAGCGATTCTGATCGATTAAGATCTCAAACGACCCTCCAGCTCGCAGTGCAGTCTCCCCCAGCCGCAGGCGGAGAGCCGGCCAGAGAGGGGGAGGCGCACCCGCCAGGCGCCGAAGCCCCCGGGATCTGAGCGCGCGGCCTTGCTCTTCCGGATGCTACGGGGTTGTCCTTAGGCGGCAGGAGCTCTCTCCCGACCTCCGACGCCAGCCAAGGCGAGCTCGTTGTTTTTGCATAAATTAATATTTCCCCATTAACAAGTTCCCCCCTCCAAACGCGGCGCCCGCGTCCATGCGCCACATCCTAATGAGGTAATTATCATTTGCGCGTGTTCGCGGCTGGCGCCGGCTCCGTGGGTAATGGCAGTTTATTAGCACGATGCCCAGCTCGGCTGCAGAGGGCTAAGGGATACTTCGGCGACTAGACGGACACCCGGGGGCCCTTTGGGGCGGCGAGTCCGGGACCCCCTGCCCTTTCCGCATCCCCTAAACCTGTAGGCCCCCAAAGTTGTGAATCACGCACGGAACTCTGCCTGGGTTTGGGCTCCCCCCCCCCCTTTTTTTTCCACCGGCAAAACCATCACGATTCCTCCCCCTCCCCCTCCCGTCTCTTCCCTCCTTGCCGATTCGCGAACCGCTCGCACTTTCCCGAGGGGAGCGCGGGCGCCAGTTGCCTCCTTTTAAAGTTTGAGGGGCGGTGGCGGCGGCGGCCGGCAGGCGCGGTGGAACACAGGGGCCGCTACAGGAGCCGCGCCGCCGCCCATGTCATTCCACTTCAAGTGACTTCATGTGATGTCAGCTGAATGTAAAAGACAGTGATCTCACGCGGAGGGGAAGATGTTTGCCATCAAAATGTGACAGAGGAGACAGGCTGCATGGCTCGGAACGCATCTCCTTGGCGGTGGGGGAAAGAGGTAAATGCGAGGTGGCTCTCCTCGTGCTCTTTAACTTTGCCCCTTCGCTCTCCAGCTCCCAGCACGCGTGGCGGAGGCCGGGGTCCAGGGAGCGGCTCGGGGGGTTAATTTGAGGCTCTTTTCTTTCTTTCTTTTTCTCCCTCTCTCTTTTTCCTCTGTAAACCCTCCCCCTTTCTCCCCCTTTCAAAGTCCCAGGGCAGGGGATGGTGGGTTCCTTTGCGCGCCGGGTTAATGGGCGGTAATTTGGTACCCTTGGGTGCACTTTGTTCTGCCCCTGTTCATTTGAATGCAAATGGGTGACCTGGACCCTACAAGGTGCTTATTAAATTGCGGTTTCCCTCCCTGCCTTTTCTGGAATGCAGACCTAGTGGAGAGAGGCTGCGCCCTGGCCCAGTCCGGTACGGCTCAGCTCGGCGAGCCATGGCAAGCTCGGCTTCCCTGGAGACCATGGTGCCCCCGGCCTGCCCGCGCGCTGGAGCGTCGCCGGCCACTTCCAAGACGCTGGCCTTCTCCATCGAGCGCATCATGGCTAAGACGTCGGAGCCCCGTGCGCCCTTTGAGCCCCGACCCGGGGCACTGGAGGCGGACGGCGGCCAGGGCAAGAAATTGCTCAACCTCTGCTCACCGCTGCCCTGTATGATCCCCCTCCAGCCCCTAGGCTACGAGGTGCCGTCCAAGACGCTGCTCAGTTACTCTGAGCTCTGGAAAAGCAGCCTCCGGGCGGGCGGCGGCGGCGGAGGAGGAGGCGGCGGCGGCGGCGGCGGCGGGGGGGCCCCGGTGTGCGGCGCCAGCGGCTTGTGCAAAACCAACTGTGGCGTGTGCTGCAAGGCCGAGCTGGGCCTGGCGCCGTCTGCGCTACCCGCGGGCAGGGTCATCAAGCCGCAGGTCATCAACCAGGCAGTGGGGCTTCCGGCCAGCGGCTCGCTCTACTACTTCAACTACCTGGACTCTGCCGCGTACCCGCCGTCTGAGCTCCTGGGCGGCCACCTCTTCCCGTCCGGCCTCCTCAACGCACAGGCCCCCGCTGCCCTGGCTGCGCACCCCAAGCTCTTTTTGCTGGAGAACGCCAAGTTGGCCGGCCTGGCCTCAGACAAGTTCCCCCATCCGGCCCCCTATGCCCATAAGGAGCGCCTGCCCGCGCCACTGGAGCAGGTGCTGAAGGAGAACTCAGCCCTGACCGCCGAGCGCGGCGGCGTCAAGGGCCACAGCAAGCTGCCTGGGGGCTCCGCGGACGGCAAGCCCAAAAACTTCACCTGCGAGGTGTGCGGCAAGGTGAGGCCCGGGGTCCGCGGGGGCCGGGAGGGGTGAGCAGTGGCGGCTGCTTCCCTGGGGGGCAGCCTGGACGGCCCCTTTCTCGAATCTGGGAGCGCCCCAGTAGCTGTCTACTCGAATTGGGGGCACAGCTGGGCCTCAGTTTCCTATTCTGTAAAATGGGGATGCCTTTGTCAGCGGCCACATGGGACTGGCACGAGCAGCCAGTGGGTTGGGAAGCTCTTTGCAAAATGAAAAGGGCTCTGGTTTCCGAAGGGGGTTTTTGGTTGGGGGAGGTAGGTTGTGCCCTCCCCAGGCTGACTCTGGACTCTCAGGACAGACACGCCACAAGGCCCCCTTGTGTGCTTCCGTAGGTATTTAACGCTCACTATAACCTCACCCGCCACATGCCGGTCCACACCGGAGCCAGACCGTTCGTGTGCAAAGTCTGCGGCAAAGGCTTCCGCCAGGCCAGCACGCTCTGCAGACACAAAATTATCCACACCCAGGTACGTGGCCCCCGGGTCCGACCCGACCCGTACCCAACACCCGGAGACTGAGCGACGGCGTTGGGGAGAGGATGACCAAGGGATCCCCTAATAACCCCCACCAGGGGCCCCTGTCCCTTCAAGGTGCCCCTTCCAGGAGCACCCGAGGTGGCTTCTCCCGGCCGGGGCCTCAGCCTCACGGTGCACACGCCCCTCTCCGCAGGAAAAGCCGCATAAATGCAACCAGTGCGGCAAAGCCTTCAACCGCAGCTCCACGCTCAACACACACATTCGCATCCACGCGGGCTACAAGCCCTTCGTCTGTGAATTTTGCGGCAAAGGCTTTCACCAAAAAGGTAACGTGCGGGGCAAGGCCCTCTCCTCACCTCCCCTCGGGACTCGGCGGGTCACCGCTAGCGGGAAGGCAAAGAAGGATCCGGAGAGAGGGAGCGCGAGAGCCGCAGGCTCCGGCGCAGCATTTCTTTGGAATCGGGTTGTGCAGGGTTTGGGTGGAAGCTCTCCGGGCCGGGTTAGTAGACCTCGCTGGACTCAAGTCTGGTTGCACGGGGAGACTCCGAATTTGGGAGGTGGGAAGGGAGGAAGGAAGGGGCAGAGGGAAAGGAAGTAGGAGAAATACAAGGTATTGCGCTATAGAGAAAGCGTCCCTTTGTAGCCGGGACTCTCTTCTGAAATGAAAAAAAAAAATCGAGGCGTAATCCACCTCCCGGGAAAGGTTTAGGCTGGGGGAAACCGCTGCTGTCTCCAGGACACTCCGCTTGGATTTTCCAAGGCACTTTCGGATATCCAAGTGGTAGTTAGCGGACCAGAGGGAGTAACTTTTAAAATGAGAAGAAAAATAATAACAAGGGACGAAGCCCGGGTTCATGCGAATTTCTTCGAGCGAGGCAGCGGCCGGGAGAAGGACCCCATGCGTCTCTGGGCAGCGCAAAAGTTTCCGGGCCGGCGGAGCACAGCGGGAGGGACGCTGTGTGGGCCTCAGGCCCCGGCGGGGCTGGGACGCGGGTCGGCTACGCGGGACTCGGCCCTCCATCCGGTAGTGAGAGCCCCGGGCTTGACGCGTACGAAGTTTGACAACTTCTTCACTCGGAGAGGTCGCGCCCGCCTAGCCAAGCGTCGCCTTCTTTGCGCGGGCACCTGAGCCAACCCCGGGACACCCGGCCCCTCCCCGTCCCACTTCATTCCCACCCCCCTTTTTGTTTTTGGTCTCCTGTAGGGAACTACAAGAACCACAAGCTGACCCACAGCGGCGAGAAGCAGTACAAATGCACCATCTGCAACAAGGCCTTCCACCAGGTCTACAACCTGACTTTCCACATGCACACCCACAACGACAAGAAGCCTTTCACGTGCGCCACTTGCGGCAAAGGGTTTTGCAGAAACTTTGATTTAAAGAAACACGTGCGCAAACTCCACGACAGCGGGGGTCCCACCACCCCCTGCACAAAGGACCTGACTCGGACAGTGCAGAGCTGAGAGCTACTGCCTCGCCCTCCCTTCCGGCCCTATCCAACCCCCAAACAGATCACACGTATAAACTTATTTCTAAAATTAAAAGAAAGGAGAAAAAAAAAAAGCTATAGCAGAAAGGCTAAAATCTATTTATCGAAACCAGCATATTTTTGGAAAGCTAAACGTTTCCTCGATGACTGGCAGCAAACGCCTGGCTCCCACCTTTATATATTCGGGAAACATTTAAACCCAGTGCGCCGAAACGTATTTAATTCCAGGCCTCGGCTTCTCCTCGGGCGGCGGGTTTTAACACCAGGCTGTCACGTGAACGTCCCGGAAGAGCGCGGCGCCCCCAGCCATCTTTATACAGCCATGTAAATCCTCCTGTACACACGAACACGGAATATATACATATATAACTCAATAAACAGAATCATTAGTGCGTCTTTTCTTCCCCCCCCCCCCGCCCTCGCCGCGAGTCAGCTCACACACCCCAAAGAAGGAAAAGGAAATAGGCGTTTATAGCGTTTCCCGGCCCAAATGCGACTTCCTCTGGGGCACTGGGACCAGGGCAAGACCGAACCGTTGCTCGTGCGGCGCTAGCGTGTACATATGCCCCAGGAACCAAGGCTCAAAGGCCTTCACCGGCCCCTACGTTGTACCAAGTTTTTATTTGGTAACTGTTCTGACCGAGGGATTCTGGGTGTTGCCTTATTTGGGTGAGAAAATTGCAAAAAGAAGGGGTTAAAAGGGGCTGGGTGTCGGAGAGCAGGTTTCGGGTGCGTGTCCTGGAGCAAAGAGCCGCGCCGCACCGCACCGGGGTAAACGGCCAGGGCGCTGCTCCGCCGGGGCGCTTCTGGGCACATCCCTTTCTCTGGGTGACCTAAGGGGAGCCACTCTTCCACCCAATCGTTCCTGGCAGCCAAGTGTCCCAGCCTGTCCCGACCTCTGGGGCTCTCCGGCCCGCGTTGTGGTCTGGGGCCGGCCTCCGGGGGCGTGCGCCCTGCCGCGGGAGGGCGCACCCGGGCTCCCGCAGCTCGCCGCCGCCGCAGCCCCCGGCGTCTTGATTACGGCGCAGTTAGCCCATTTCCTGAATAGCCATCTCCGCCGCCGAGCACGCTGATGAAATGGTCTCACGCTTGCTTTCTAAGTAATGACCCAAATTAAGAGAGAAAACAGAGACCCTTCAAACAGCATTACATTAATCATCTAATCATTCCCAGGAGGGGGCCGGCCGCCGCCGCCCCGTTTGATCCGAATCTGGATAATCAAGAGCTCGGATTACTGGCTCGGCGCGCCGGGCCTTCTCCCGCTCCCCCACCCCTAATATTCGCGCCGCGATTCAGCCCACGTTTTCTGGAACATTGTTCCCCAGCGCCGGGAGGAAATGTGGAGCGGGGCCGGGGAGTGCGCTTCCACGCAGCCTCGCCATTGCAAGGGTTAGGGCGGCGGCGTCTGGGCGCTGATCCCACGCGGACTTCCACTGCAGGTGGAGGCTATTGGGAGAGATGGTTAATGCAAAGGGAAATCCCCAAGTAACTGAAAGTGACTCGAGTGAGGTTCATCCCAACGCCCGGTATACAGTAGGCGCTCAGTGCTGCTTGCGCAAGGGGCTCCCATCATCAAAGAAGCTCGCATTTCCCGAGCGCTTGCTCCACGCCAGACACTCAAAGCACATTCTTTCGAATATTCACAGCCCGCAAGCTGGGGATGATTATTCCCACCTTGTGGAAGGACGGAGAAACTGAGGACAAGATAAAAGCTAAATGACATGCCTCGGGTCACAGGAAAAGGTAGGGTCAGGGTTCGAAGTCTAGGCTTTTAGAAAACTCAAACTGCCTTCAGTCCTCGTCGGTGGAGGAGGAATATCCCGATTGGGACTCGGGAAAAGACATGCGGCTGCTGGGTGGACGCTCCGTCCAGGTCACAGCCAAAGGTTGGTCCCCACCCCCAGCCCAGTTCGCACACCCATTGCGCGGGGAAGGAGAATTGTCGATTTTGTTTGCACAGAGGACAGCGACAGCTTCCTCAGGCTGTCGCGGGGGTATTTTTAGTACCTCCGATTCAGAAATAGGAACGTGTACATTAGAATTCCATTTCCTGAAAGGAGAGCGTCCTCGTTTTTTTTGTATTCCTCTCCCCCTCCCAAGTCTGGGAAGACGCAGCCAGGGGAGGGGGGGCGAGGAAGCGAGGAGGAATTTAAATGTTAGCTCGTTCTGGCTGCATTTCGCTGAGGGGAGATTGGGACCCAGAGCGATATGCAGATTTAACTCCGAAATCTCGGTGGATGCCACAAACCCCAGGAAACCCCACAATGGGCAAGGAGGACTTGGCGGCTAAAGATATGGAAATAGCGCCTTGCTCTTCCCAGACATCTATCCCCAGGGGGCTTGCGGGCTGGTTCGAAGAGTCCGCTCCTTTCCTAGTTATCTTACTAGGTTTGATTAGCCCCGCCTCAGAGACACACACACACCCCCCCCCACTTCTGGGAGCTGCTGGGTGCCCTCCGACAGTTGTCTCAACCCAAAATCCTTTACTTCTTGCGTCTCTGAAAGGATCCTTGGTAGATGCGCTTCTTGGAGGCCAGACAATGGCCGGGGCAGGCCCACCTTCTTCCTAAACGGTTCCAGAACTTTGGGCAAGGGGCAGACACAACAAAATTTAGTGCAAAAGCATCCTCTTGGGGAATTCTTAGACAATTGCGTTAAAAAGTTGGCCTGCATATGGGAATCGTGATTCACTACTCCTCTTTCTCTTTAAGAAGAAAAGATAAATAAAAAATAGATGGGACACTCCCATGCAGCGAAATAACTTTCTAACCATCAAGTAAGAGAACCTTCTCTGAGGAACTTCTTCTGTAATGTTTTCACAGGAGAAAGACTAAAAGGGTTGCCCATCTCATAAACCGGAGAAATTTATTTCCAGGTGACAGTCCTGAAGAGGGTTGAAGATCCCATGCTTGCAAACGACAGCAAATGAAATAAAACCAAAGCGTGGGGGAGGAGGCATTTCCCTCCTGGACTGCTCATTTCTGTCTGCCGTCGGGGAGAGGTAAGGAACCGGGGCTCTGAGCTGAACCTGGGCAGAGTTACTGGAATACTCCAACCTCCTTGAGCTTGTTTCCTCCTAACCGATTGTTCCTTAACCTTCACACCAGCGCCTGTCAATCGCTCTCACCTGAGAAGGTGTTATTTCACATCTGGTGGTAATCGTAGATAAACAGAGCCCCTCCCTATCTACAGGGCTTAGCTCGGCTTTCCCCAGGTTTGAAGTCCCTCCTTCTTGGGTTAAGATGTCTGCTTCCTTCAGCTGTGGGATTCAAGAAAGGATTCCTTCACCTGAAAAGTAGTGCGAAGAGAAAAGGAACCTTCTGTCTGAATGACTAAACACCTTTCACAGCCAGGGCAGGTTCTGACACCCACGCTAAGCCGTTGTAAGTAACCATCCTAACTGGGGTCCTTCTTAGTCATTTATTCCCCATGCATCGGAATTGATGGGTGAAAGGCTCTGTTTTCTGATATTTTTCCCCCTCTTAATATTAAACTGTTTGCATGACTCGTAGTTTCCATTATTAACAAATGACTTAAACAAGGTAGTCATCAGTCGCATATTAATATTCTAACCTTGATTAAATTGAAGAGGCCTCCCTTTAAAAATATTTTTAAAAAATCAAATTGCGGGGGAGGGGAATCCTGTCACAGACACAAAAAAGACTCCAATTATCTTTTCCCCTACAAGATGTTTGTTCTGTCCATGACTGCTCACACTTCAGCAATCTTGCCAGCAAGACTCAAAAAAAAAAAAAAAAAAACCCTCCTTCTTCCAAAGCCACAGCCTTGTACATAACAGATTGTACAGTCCTATTGCCTTAGGCGGGTAAGAGGTTCCTCTCTGCTAAGAGCGACACAGAGAAGTTGCCAGCAGCATCCAGACGCATTTTGGGGGGCACTGGGCTCGCTCTTGCCTCGGCTGCAGAAGTGTGCCCGTAAGGTCCCCATTTTGCTGTTTGGCTCTTAAGAGGATAGGGAGCCGCCTGAGCCAGGCCCAAGAATCACAGCAACAAGGCATCCAGGTGTGCAGGTGGTGAATGAGCTGGGGGGGAGGGGAGGGCCCGAATAACAGTGAGGGTTAGTTGGGGGGTGCTGCCAAAGAGAGGACAGGAGTCTTGAGAAAATGCTGGGAAATAAACAACCTCGAGGCAGCTGCGTTGCCCTTTTCCCTGCACTTCCCTCTGAAACGTCTGAGCAACCAGTTTGCTCCTAGAAACATGTTAATTGCCAACGGAGCTCATTAAGGCATGCACATGCAAAACACAGCAAGAAAGATTAAATGGACAAAAGCGCAATAATGAACTGTCAACAATCGGGCCCATCTACGCGACCAGGATCACTCAAGAATGAGGCATTTAGAGGCAACAAAGGATTGTCTGAGACAGGAAGAAAAGACGACCTAGACTTTTGTTTAGTCAACACAATTGATTACAAATGAGAGATTAACAGGATAGCTTCAGATTTTTTTTAAAAAGAGGCAGAAAAGAAAAGTCCAATTAAGTCCACCGAATGTTAACTACATTGCGTTCCATGCCTAGCCCCAAAGAAATTCTCATTAAACCATCCCTGGCGATCCCTTTTGGAAAGTAATTTGTCTCCCTGATGGAGCAGAGAAAGAGAATCGTGTAAAAGAAAGCGTTAGTTCTTGGCGCAATGAGCTTAGGAGACACACTAGAAAGAGCCAAAGGGGGAGTTAATGAGCATCTGACAAACTGCTTGGATTCAGGCCTAGAGAACAGCGATGAAAAGATGAAATTGGCCAACAACTATTCTTTATATCAAACATAAAAAGGCCAATCTGAAATGGGGCTGCTCAAAACTGGTTGAAAGTACATAGCCCAAGAAAAGGGAGCCACAGCCAGGCCCCTTGGTGGACACTGGACAGAAAGAGACAGAACTCAACCAGCCAAGAGCTAGGAAATAGGCAGAAAGATGGCAAACTCCAGCCACCGGCCCCACGCCTTTGGAGGTGCTGGTCTGAAGCTCTTGGTGCCCACCGCCTACCCTCTGAAGGTTACTTTCGTGAGGGAAAAATGTATCAGGCTAGCCTTTGAGGATTCCCTAAAGGTTCTGGTAATCTGGTCATTAACTCCTGGCATTCTTCAAACTCTTCCTTTCTCTTCTAGAATCATAGCCAGGGTTACCATATGTCACTAATTCGCATCCAGTTCTTCTATTCTCCCTCCTAGTGACCATTCAAAATCCTCACCCCCAGGTGACTGCCTTCCTAATTCTGCACAGAGCACAGAGGTGGCAGGATCATCGTACACAGATTTGTGGACCAGGTGATGAATTATTTAAATCATTAAGTTATTTGAATTATTTCTTATAGTTCACCTGGCTTTAAGAGTCCGGCTCATTTTAACACTTTCTTTTTTTG